CCACCACTGCTGTCACTCATAGCTGCCATTATTACCATCACTGTTATCACCCACGGCTACCACCACCACCATGGTCATTGTCACCTATCACAACCATCAATATTCTCCTACCACCACCACTACTGCCCACTACCTCTCACCCCCATTACAACTGATGTCTAAATTAATATATCTCTCCTATATATTTGTGATTTGATTTTGAATATAAATACAAATATGTTTATTATTAATCATTTTTTTATTATTCTGTGTCTTCAGGTATAGACAATAACTAGTATTTAATATAACCAAACAATAATAAAACACCACATATGAATAAAAACGAGTTTATTATACGATCCCTTTGCAATAAACTAATGCTTTGTCACTGAGCTTGTTTGTTTGGCAATAAAGGGAAAGAAAAGAAATTGTTATTCTTTATCTTCATTTTTTGTGTTTATTATGGGTAATAGACAAGCCATAATTATGATCCGATAAACAATCTATAATATTAAATAAGGCAGACTTCAATAAACTCATTCGACGATTTAAAATAGATTCATTCAATAACTACTAATATCTCTCTCAAAATTATTCACATTATACCGTACCTTTAGGCAAGGGTTACCCCTAGCACTGTGAATGATTTTGAAATGAATGTCGGTGGTCATTATATTTATATATTTGAAACTGTCATATAAACTTATTAAAGTATGTCATATTTTATACATATATAGATACAAGCCAGCTTTCGAGCTGTAGCTTTACAATGATAGGATTTAGATAAGGCCCTTAATATATATCTATATAATAAGATGTCTAGGTTTTTGAACTTATGAAAATATATTTTTTCCTTAAATTTATATACATTCATCATACACTTTCCTCCCTAAATTTCACAAATCTAAAACAAACACTACACAACACACACTCATTATATATACATTCCAATTGTACACATACTCTAATACACGCATAATATCATCGCTTAGTATATAGTGAGTTCAGTCTTGAGATATCGTTAGTGTGTCTATATATATATTTATTTATTTATTTATTATTTGGACATAGATTCCTCTGATCCCTTTTTGATCCTTAGCTCAAGCTTTGAATGCTCTCTTACCCTCACTCGTGTCTAAGTAGTTTGCCTAGAAAACAAAATGCTGACAGGTAAATACCATTAAAAAAAAAAAACTAGTTTCCCCGTAGGATAAGGTCACTTGGGTTTTGCCACCCATTTTTCAAATAATATTTGTACTATCGTTTTAATCATGTATATTTAAATTTTTAGACTCATTCTACCGATGCAATTATCAACAAAACAAGTACATCAAATATATTTTTTTGAGACTCCAATAGAAAATCTCGAGGTATGAAATAATGAAGTTATGTCACCTACCATAACTAGTTTGTGGAAGGTAACGTAGCGTTTGATTTTGGGTCTGACGACTAATTATAATTTGCCCAACCATGTTGAAGATCATTATCCTCTGATAGATTAATCTACGAGTATGATTGAGAATGATCTTATTTTGATTACTTATAAATTTTAGTGAAATTTGGAAGCCAGTCATCCTATATAAACTTATTTAGAGATAAATCCAACAAGAAAATTTATTCGATTTTAATTCTGTTTTTTGTTAAATTTATTATTGTACCCCTACCTTGTAGAATAGTAACAAACGACGTATGATAGTTATAAAAAGTCACATAAGTTAGATAATTGAATTATGTATGAAAATCGTTGTATTAAGTATTGTATGAAAACCGTTGTATTAAGTATTCCGATAATTAACGGAAGTTTTATGTGAAATATATATATTCTGATAGTTATATATGGAAGCTTGATGTACAAATAAATAGTTGATATATTGAGTGAAATTCAAATTACAAGATTTCCTTAACAATTCAAATTCAATAGTAACATGATACAAATATAGGGTGACACTGTAGCATGACATTATATTATCAATATCCTAACTATGATACAAAATCACCAAGTGTAATGGATATATAACAATTATCAAGAATTATATGTAAAAGTAACATGAACAGTGTCACTTAATTAGCTGACGTAAACATAACAACATTAGCTTAATAACATTAATTTCTTAACTGAATCTCAGTAACATCATTTTTAGTAACATCAATCAAACACAATTTTGAGTTCCTATATTATAATTTTATGGAATGACCATTACATTATATATAACACTATAAGTCCATTATAATGTTACTAAGTTTACGTTACTATATTTACATCAGCTAATTAGGTGACACTGTTCATGTTACTTTTGAACAAAATTTTTTATCATTATTTTATATTCATTACACTTGATGATTTTGAATCATGTTACTATATGCTGGTTAGGATATTGATAATATAACGTCATGCTACAGTGTCACCTTATACTTGTATCATGTTACTATTGAATTTAAATTATTAAGGAAATCTTGTAATCTGAATTTCACTTAATATACCAACGATTTATTCGTAAATCAAGTTTTCATATATAACTATCAGATTATATACATTTCATATAAAACTTCTATTAATTATCAAAATATTTAATAAATAATTTTCATATACAACTCAATAACAGTTTTCATATATAACTCAATCAATGATTTTCATATATACTTCAATGATCTAATCTATGTGACTTTTTATAACTGGACAAAACTAACACCATTATTAGTAATTTTGAAATTTAAAAAAAAATGGAGTTAAGTACTACATATAAGTTTAAATGTTGACTTAATCTCAAATAAGTTTCCTTGTCGAACTCAAGTCATTATAAGTCCATCTAGAGGAACTCACCTCCAATTTTCACTAAATTTTATCTATTTTGATCAAATCAAATAAGTTATACTCAAATAAATTCAACTCCATCAATAATATTTTGAGGATCCCACTCATATGCCACAAAAAATCGCTAATCTATTGAATTTAATGATAGTTGCTTAAAATTAACCAAAATTGACAAATATTTAAATTCAGATGATCTAAACCCATTATTCTCGGGTCAATCCCAATCCATTTCTTCTTTTTTTTTTTTTGGGTAGATCCAAATCCATCTCTTTTTGTGTTTTTGGGTGGGTCCAAATCCATCTCTTTTTCCTTTTGATGGGTCCAAATCCATCTTATTGATGATAAAAGATAATCCCATTATATCCGCCGTTGACTCTACCACTCTGGCCCACTAATAGAACTACGATGCCTCGCGCCAAACGGCCATTTGGTACAGACGGACCCCCACCTCAAAGGCGTGCTACCCTACACAGTTTAAAATATTGGTGTCAATTTTAACGTGATGCAAACACGATAAAAATCAGACAAAAATTAAAAATGAAATGATTGATTGATAAAAATAATAAATTAAAATTAAACACGAATAATAGGATTAATAGGTATTAAACCGTCTTCAACCTTGACTCAAATACTCAAATTTGTGTCAATAAATATGATATAAAGTATTTCAATAGATAAATTTAAAAAATAACAAATTTTCAAATTTAAATGAGTGTAAAATATGAATATTAGATCTTTAAATGATGATAAAATTTGACCATTAAAATTTTAAATAAAAATTTGAGTCTTTCTTTATTTAATATGAATTTGAATAAAAGATTGGAGCTTAATTCTTTACCTATTTTCACTCAAATTTGAGTTTTAGTCGATATTTAAGAAAGAACTAGAAATACTTTACGAATAGAAAATAGATATTTTACAAATTTAAATTTTATCTATATAATATTATAGCGTAATGTTATTGAAATATAATTTAAGGACATAATTTGGAGACTTAATAATTATGATTATTAGATTATCAGTGAGTTCCAACATTAAATTATCAATGAATTTCGCATTATCAATTTAATAATCATGATGTATTAAAACGATTATTAATATGAATATGACATGAATCAAAAATGATATGACTTAAAAATAATATAACTCAAAATAAAATAACACAACACAAGTTAAGACCCCCTATTTAAACCCCACTTAATTTGGAAAGGTAAGGTAAGGCAATACATAGTCATTTACTCACAACTCTTTGAGGTCAGGTGATGAAAGATTTATTTTTCATGAATACTCTAATCTCAAAGTGGATAATCTATCTCTAATCGGACCGAGAGAGGATTAATCTAAATATACGTAAGTTAGTTCGAATATCTCTCACCCTGAACCAAAAAAAATAAAAAAATAGTTGGCAACCTTCTCGCAAGGTTCTGGTGTGCCGTTGGTTCCTTTGCCACTATTTCTGGTTTGGGCTTTTCTGGGTAACGATATTTAAATCTTAAAATTTGACCTAATTTATTAATTTAATTATATGATTTTATTAGAATCATTTGACCAATAATAAGTTTTAATATTTGATGGAGTTTACAATCAATTTAAAAATTATAATGAATTAAGTCAGTAAATTAGATTGTTATATTATTACTCTTTTTTAAAACCTTAATTTTGTGAATTTCTGTGTTCTATATTTTTTATTCTCAAGTTACCTCAGCAACCATCATCGTCATCAACAACTTTACAAAAGACCATCCTGTGTTAGTTAAGTTTAATTTCTGTTTTTTGATTTAAGAGCTCTGGGTGCGGTTCAGATTGTGTTTGTATAGATAAAAAAGTAATGTTGGATGCATGTGCCATTCCTGTCCCTTCTCTCAACCTCTAGCATTTGTTCCTTTTCTCCACCTTTCTTGTAGCAAACATACATACAAAACCAGCTAAAACCAATTTTCTCTTTCATGTAATACCCATAACTGGGGGGTTTTGATCAGAGAGAGCTATTGAAGTTTATGGGTGGTTCGTTGGTTTTAAACGGTGGAGAGCAAAAGTTGCACAATTTTTCTTCATACCCAGGTAAACATTTTGCCTTTTCTCTGAATATGAATTAATCTTTCTAATAGTAACCCATTGAGAAAAAGAAAAAAATAAAGACAGCATAGAACAGATATTCCAATTGGTTTGATGCTTTAAACTATGATTGTTGTTTACGTTCCAGGTCGAGGTCATAGAGGGTTTCTTTGAGTCAGTTTCATCAAAAATCAAACCAGGTTTCCTCATTCGTTACATAGAGAGATTATCTAAATGATTTTTTTTTCCTGGGGTGGTTTACATATATAGTGGTTTTTAAGGATAAAAAATGCCATTGTTGATCTGGGTTTTTGAGGGGAAGAAGAAGAGACTTTGTAATATAGCTTAGAATAAGCCTTGAAAGGGGATTTTTCGGGCGGTGCATACGATGGAGTCACCAGCAGTGTTGCAGCTCACAACACCAAGGAAAAAGATGACGAAACAATTGACTGGGAAACGTGATGATAGTCCATTGCATTCCGCAGCTAGAGCAGGAAATCTTGCTGCTGTAAGGGAGATTGTTAATGATCAGGGAGAAGAGGGATTGATAGAATTGTTGTCAAAGCAGAACTCAGCTGGTGAAACAGGCCTGTATGTTGCAGCTGAATATGGCTATGTTGATTTGGTGAGGGAGATAATCAAGAACTATGATCTTGTTGCTGCTGGAATCAAAGCAAGGAATGGCTTTGATGCACTTCACATTGCTGCCAAACAAGGCGATTTGGGTATGTCTCGACACTGAAATTTGTTGCAATTGTGAGATTGCTTCATTGTGACTTGGGCATCTAGGGTGAGGCTGTGTACATTTAACTTGCTGCAAACCTCCGTAGCATTGGGAGCCTCATGCACTGGCTGCCTTTTTTTTTAATTTGTAAAATTTCTTCTTTTTCAAGATGAATCTGAGTTTTGCTTGGGAATGTTGCAGAGGTGGTGAAGGTGCTAATGGAGGCACATCCACAGCTGTTTATGACGGTCGATGTTGCAAACACCACGGCTTTGCACACGGCTGCAACTCAAGGGCATCTAGAAGTGGTAAATTTTCTCTTGGAGATAGAGAGCAGCTTGGCCACTATAGCTAGAAGTAATGGGAAAACAGCCTTGCATTCTGCAGCAAGAAATGGGCACGTGAAGGTCGTGAGCGCCCTTTTAAATAAGGAACCTGGGATTGCAACGAGGAACGATAAGAAGGGGCAGACTGCACTTCATATGGCTGTGAAGGGACAGAATCTCAAGGTGGCGGAGGAGCTGATTAGAGCAGATCCTTCATTGATAAATATGGTTGATACCAAGGGCAACACAGCATTGCATATAGCAACACGGAAAGCCAGGGATCAGGTGAATTAGCCTTTGTTCCTTTCATACTATATATTCTGTTAATTAGCAGGAAAGCATGACACAAACCTCCATTCTTGAAATTTTAATCTCACTGTGGGTATCATTTAGCTAATTAGCTATGTGGCCGTATCTTCTTCATATTATGAACTTCACTTAAAAAAAATAAGAGTGCTAGTCTGCTGGGAAGTAAACTTTGGAAAGACAAGTACCATGAGAGATTTAAAGAATGATATTGGTATGTTATCGATACGTCTGTCAAAGTTGAAAGCAAAGGCATTGAGAATCATGTCAAGATATGTTTGTGAGCTTGAAAAATAGGGGATGGATATATAAACACAAATGAGCTTAATGCAACAAATTGTTAACAACACTGCCATGCTCTGGCCTCCTTATTCCCTTAGAGTGCCTTGAGTAGGGTGTCCATCGACCGGGTTACCCACGGGTCCTGTTACCCGGTCCGATAGGCTTGATAGTTGGCCCGCCCGAGCCCGAGCCCAATATTCTTAAAAAATAGGATTTAGGTTTGTCCGCAAACCCATTACTCGGCCCGAAGCCCGGCCTAAGAGACCGCCCGTTAGCCCAGCCCAGCCCACCTCTCTTTTGAAAAAAAGTTATATTTTTAGACTATTAAATTTGAAACTTTGAAATAAGTCTCCCAATATCGAAATTTGAAGTTTTAAAAATTTAGATATTATAAATAATGTATTATTTTCTTTTCCATGTATTAAGCATATAAGTTTTAAATGGTAGAATAATACAAATGACAGATAAGTTAGTAGGTGTCAACCTAGTTGAGATTTATTCATTCTTTGGATGCAAAAATATTCATTATTCATTAGTAGGTGCAATTCATTATTTTATTTTTATCCATTTTGACTTTACTTTTGATTCAAAAATATAATTTACACAAATATTAAACTATAAAAATATTCATTATCTTTAAATAAATATGTATATAAAAAAACCCGTAAACAGGCCCACTCAGCAAGTCCGGCCACAAGCCCGCCCAATAGGCTCACGGGTTGGGCTACGAGTAGCCTACCTCTACTCAAAGTCGGGCCCGACCCGCATAATACCTCACTTGGGTAAAGGCTTGGGCCTACACTACCTAGGCCCGGCCCAAAAAAAAATTTGCGGGCCTAGCCCAACCCATGGACACCCCTAGCCTCGAGTTAGATATTAATCTGATTAGCCCACTCATCCATGACATAAAAATTAGCCCAACTCTTGTAGTTTTCCCATGATAGGGTTTGCTTCACTCGGCAGTAAGGCTTTCCGGGCCTAAAGACTCTTTTCTTGGTGGTACTAGAATATGCATTAAGGAGTGTATTCACGAGCACTAGCTTTCTTGGCTTGGGAGAGTATTGAAGTAAGCTATCCTACTAATGCAGTTTGATGCTTCCTGCATTGAAGGAAAGTATGGTCAATCAGTCGAAGACCCCTAGGAGTAATCCCTATCAATTAGGATTTTAAAGTGTAATATGATGCCTTTAATTTGCTGTTAGGGGATTCATTGAGGGAGGGATGAACTTGTTCCAAGCTGGCCCTTTGGTAGTGTTATGAACAAAAATTACAAATAGATAAACACAACAAAATAGAAAAATATAGAATGCAAATTTATGTGGATCGGCTCAAAAGCCTGTGTCCACGGGCCAAGCGCATCCCAAAGTTTCACTATCAATAAAGGGAGGTAGTACAAAATTCCCTAATCAAGATGATAGAACCAAACTTAGATGCTCAAAATTGGGGGACAAAATCTCCAAGAGAAATTAAGTGGTCTATAATCTATTTATGAACCTAAAATACTGTCTCATTTACTGACAAAATTATATATTAATACTACTGGAAGGAAGATTTACCAAAGTTAGATGATGGATAACCTCTGACTTGATTCTTGTTCTGCTTGTGCAGATTGTTAAAATGCTATTAGGGCAGAAAGAGACCGACACAAAAGCTGTTAACAGGTATAATGAAACAGCCTTCGATACTGCAGAAAAAACAGGGCAGACTAGCATTGCAGCCACACTACAGGTGCATGGTGTTGTGAGTGCCAGGGACCTCAAACCCCAAGCAACAAATCCAGCTCGAGAGTTGAAGCAAACTGTGAGTGACATAAAACATGAAGTCCACAACCAACTAGAACACACTCGACAGACCAGAAAACGCGTCCAAGGCATTGCCAAACGCCTCAACAAAATGCACTCTGAAGGTCTTAACAATGCAATCAACTCTTCCACCGTCGTAGCTGTCCTAATTGCTACTGTCGCCTTTGCAGCCATTTTCACTGTCCCTGGCCAATATGTGGATGACCCTAAAAGCGTTCCACCCGGAATGTCCCTAGGAGAAGCAAATATTGCTCCAAATCCCGCATTTCTGATCTTCTTCATTTTCGATTCTATAGCCTTGTTCATCTCTCTTGCTGTCGTGGTTGTGCAAACCTCAGTCGTGGTAATTGAAAGCAAGGCAAAGAAGCAGATGATGGCGATTATAAACAAGCTGATGTGGTTGGCTTGTGTGCTTATTTCTGTGGCATTCTTGGCACTGTCATTTGTTGTGGTTGGCAAGCAAGAGAAGTGGCTGGCAATTGGAGTAACCATTGTGGGAACGACAATAATGGCTACAACTTTGGGTACAATGTGTTATTGGGTGATTATGCACAGAATTGAGTCCTCAAATATGAGGAGCATTCGGAAGAACTCTCAGAACAGCCAGTCGCGGTCTTGGTCGGTGTCGGTAATGTCAGATTCAGAGATGCTGAACAAGATGTATGCAATTTGAAAGCATCCTAAAAGCCAACTCTTTTTCGGCTTTTGGCGCATTGGGTGTTTTTCCTTCCTATAGATGATCTTTTCATCTGCACATTCAAAGGTGGGGACGGAGGCAGGAATGTAATCAAGGATGGATGCAAGTGTAATTGAAAATTTTGCAAAGGAAGTTCTAATTTAATAACTGGGAAAATTATATATGAACCCCCTAAACTTTACATCTTATATCTCATTGCCTTCTTGATTATCGCATTTCTCATATTGCACCTTTAATTACGATTATTGGTTTTCTAATTGGTGACATAACAAACCCTTTTATTTCACTATACATATTTTTCTTCAAAACATGACCGATGTTTGACTTTCAAACACTTTGAACCCCAAGTAGATAATGAGAATATGAGAAACGTTATAGTTGAAAGGAGACAATAAGATCAAAGCATATTTTTTTGCAAATAATTTAGAGTAAAGGTGAAACATCATGATAAACCTGCATTATCTACACAACTCATAAATCTAAACCAAAATCAAAAGAAAATTTGAAAAATTTTGGTTTAAACTTAATGCATTCAGATAGTAAACAAGTAAACTCGCCAAGCCCGTCTAAGTTAAATTGACTTATATGAATTCAACTAAATCTGACTAACACTGTTTACACAAATCTGACACAACACACGACTCATTAACTACCCTAATCACAAGCAACACAACAAAAGAAAAAAAATATAGACAGCATGACAATGATATGACTTTTTTTGGGGGGTCGTTCAACGTTCACGGGTGTTTAGACCAACTTACACGCATTTAGACTAATATCTTCTCCAGTCTAACCAAAAATAGGCAATCCATTTAAAGATTAGAATATTCACAAGAGATAAATCTCTCTCTGCCTGACCCTAAGAGATTGCCGAGATTCAAACTCAAAACGTCTGAATTTATAACCCGTCTTTATTACCACTTGAACTACCTTGCATACTCTAGTCCGGTTATCCATCTTCAAGCAATTCCCGCTCACATATTCTAGATCATCGTACCAAAATAGTTCCTCACTCGCACCGATTCTGGTGAACCCACCAGCAAACAACAAAATATTCTTTGCAATGGAACTAATGAGCCCAAAATAGAAGGGGAACTACAAATGAAATTAGCAACTCTTTTGAGTTCAAGCATAATTTCATTGCAACTGTAATTTTTATTTTACACTGCAGTATTTATCCAAATAATGATGAGAAGAGAAGAACGGAATTGGGAAGAAAAACGACCACTACATAAAGTCTAAATAATGCCAACTATAAATCTATAAGATTTATCCAATTCCAACGCCTCCCCCATCAAGTATATTATCTCTCTCTCTCTCTCTCTCTCTCTCTCTCTCTCTCTCTCTCTCTCTCTCTCGCTCATGCTTTAAGCCGAAGGTAAAAGAGGCAAATATAAGGGATATGTATTTAGCCTGCTAATTGTAGCTACTTGCGACTCATCAAATTAGATCGCTGGGAAAAATATGTATGGCAAGTCAAGACTGTGAAGTGCTCAAGACCAAGCCTTTCAGTGCCGGCATTAAACTCTCCAGGATCTCCCTTTTGCTCAAAATTCTGTCAGATGTACAGTCTTCTTCCTGAATAGTGAAACAAAAACAAGTGAATGGCAGTTAATATAAACCAAATTACTAAAGAAAACTTACCCAGGCCCATTAATTATTCTATCGCAAATAACAGGTACCCTGTATTATGTGTAACCAGAATGCAATTTACCAAGGCTAAAAGTAGCATAACAAGTAGCTGACCGACATTTCTTTTATCTAATCTACTTGTTCAACTTCTCCTCGCTAGAAATATATTTTTTTAAAGAATGCCACTGAAAGAAGCATTATTAGATGGTTCCAGCCCACATTAAAGTCAAGGAAGAAAACAAATCCTCAATTGGACAGAGTAACAAATTTCAAATGTAACAGAAACTACCAGCAAACTTTAATTTAGATCACACAAAATGCAGACTATCAACTCACATCACCAGTTGCAGCAGATATTAGTGCTAAAAGGGTCACTGTTGCACCATGGTAATCCACTAAGATCTTGTAGGCGGAATCATCTAGTTTATCCTGAAAAGTTGAAATACAAGTATGAGAGATGAAATAAGAACACCACCAAAAGAGAATCCCATAATACAATAACTATTTGAACCTCTCTCTCTCTCTCTCTCACACCCGTAAAACTTAAGTATAATGTTCTTGCAATCACAAGGGCCATGGGAGGTTGCTAACATAGTATGTTGGGTGTTTCCTTGCAAGCCAGTGACATAACTTTATTTGGACAGTTAAACACATGAATTAAATTCCTAAAATTTCTGGGTAACACTTAACATGCACATAAATTTGTCAATGAAAAGAAAATTCAGCAAACTTAACTTAGTGATCCATTGACAGTCAAGCAAGGACAAGACTCATTTAAAATAGTTTGGTCATTTGCAAACAAAGACCAATTTCTTCTGAAGTAGGAAATAATAATGCCCCTTTGTGCAAAATGAAGCCACTATACGAACAGGAAGGAGGACAAAAAAAATCACGGTTACACGAAATAATGGACGACAATGATGCATGATTAACAAGCCACATCCCAATATGGAGTATAATTGAAATTTCCTAAAATCACATAGCCACTAAGCTTTGTATGCTAAATCTAGCTGTAAAATACTCTAGCATAATTTGCTGACCAAAAAATGTAGGGTTCATGCACTTTACTTTAAAGGCTCTATGCCCATTATAAACAAAATTCAAAAAGGAATTATATAAGGCTGTCTGCAATCTTGGGTAGCATGTATACCTTCTTATGTTTAGTAAGCCACAGTATACAATAATATGCATTAAGAGCATCTCCAACAGGCTCGTTAAAGAGCCTTGTTTAGGTATTTTTGATAGCTTTCCCCTTAAATTTGACTCCAAGAGGCAAGTTATCCAGCTATCTATTTCTCATATCCCCTTTTTCAGTCGCTGGTTGTAGCTAGCCCTCTTCTCCCTCGGTGGCACCAAGTTCCTCTCTACTATCTCTCTCTCTCTTTGTCCCATTGAAGCTCCACAGCACCCCGCCCCACAGATCCATTCCAACTAAAGCTCCACCGACTGAAGGCTCCACCGGTATGGTCTCTTTCTCTCTCTCAGAATGGAGAAGACGGTACAACTCTCCAACTCTGATTTCATTTGGGTTTCTATTCAAATTGATTTGCTTGTAGCTCATCTGATTTCATTTGCGTTTCCATCTTTCTTGTTTGTTGTGAGTATTCCGTCCTGAGTTGGGAAAGCTTTGTGGATTTGTTTGTAGCTCTTTTTTTTTTTTTTTTTTAAATTTAAACGAGACTGATCTCCAATTATTTTTTGCTCTTCTTTTTTTTTTTTGTCAAATTAAATTAGGATAAAAATGAGGGAGGGGGTGGGTTTGCCATTTCCATCAAACTTCCCATTTCCAGAAAGCTACACAAAGAGCTGAGATTTTGTACAGTTGAGAAACGAAAAGCTCTTGTTCTTAGATTCAAGGTCCGAGTGTAATAATCAACCTGTGAACCAAAAGGAAAGAAAAGCACAATATAAGAAATTTTCATCTATTAAAACCATTCTTTTCTTGTATATAAGGTCCATGTGCCGATGAACTTGAAAACCAAAATAAGAATGTCAGAGTTCAAATTTCATCATCTGGGGTATAAAGGTTTATGATTTTCTTGAAAGGGTCAATAATAAGAACTTTCAAAAAGGATACTTTATTATATTTTGTGAAAAATTTACCAAGAAATAGGGGGGGGGGGGGGGGGAAATGGCAAATCCAAACATGAGAATGTCACAACTCAAATTGCATCAACTGGGTTATCAAGAAGATTTGTGGTTTTATCAAAAGGGTCAGTAAAAACTTGCAAAAACAATACCTGATCAACTTGAGTTCTTGATTTCTTGGTGTTCTACCCACAACAGAGTTTCAAGCATCTGCGGAGCTATTCTTGGCTTTTGACATTGAATAGGTATATGTTGGGCTAAGAGGCATGATAGCTTTTGAAATTGAATGGCTTTTTTTTTTTTTGTAGTTGTTGCCTGTGCAGTTATATATATTGTAGACATGTACTAAGATATGTATTCCACTACAGTTTGTGATTATCAATAAGTTCAAATGAGGATGCTTCTTTTAATTTAGGTTGTACTTTATTATGGTATGTGGTTATTGTTGAATGCTTGCTCTTACACTTTTGCCTTTTGTTTTCATTGAATTAGTCTTTCCCATGAAAACTCAAAGATGAGGGCTCTCAATATTTTTTCCAGTTCTAGAATTAGCCTGGTGGATATTTATTTGGTATGGAATTGATTAGAATTTTGTTAAGTAACTTGGTAGCTCAGTAGGAGTTGAACATTGCTTGTCTCATCTTATAGGCATTACACATGGATCCATTCTAATATGGTGCGTACTTCACCAATCTCATGCATGATGGAACAAATTTAGATTATGAGGTTATAGGTCAATCTTCACCAATATCTCCTCAAGTAGAATCCACCCCCAAAAAACAACGAGGTAAAAATTTTACATCAGAGGAAGACATTATGATAATCTCGGCGTGGCTTAATATTAGTTTGGATGTTGTGCAAGGAAATGAGCAAAAATCAAAGACATATTGGCAAAGGGTTTGCGATTTCTTCCAGGAATACAAACCTAAGTCATGCCCTAGTCGTAGTCAAAACTCTTTGATGAATCGTTGGTCGGCAATTCAGCTAGCCACCAACAAATTTTGTGGGTATTTTGCACAGATAGAAAGACTGAATCAAAGTGGTTTGACAGAAAAAACAAGGTATGAGTGAATATTTTCTTACAAAATAGTGTACTTTTAATGATATGATAATGAGTTTTGTTAAATTTTTCAGATTCGTGATGCCAAAAACTTGTACAAGGAACTCTATAAATCTTCTTTTCCATTTGAACATTGTTGTAATGAGTTAAGGTATCAACCAAAATGGATGAAAGATTCTCAAGCAAAGAAGTAAAAAATAAAATATAATGCAACTCCTAGTAGCTCCGTGCCTTCTACAGCGGACTCCGTAAATTTAGGAGATGACGGTAGGTCCTATAGATCCTTAGCCAGATCACCTAGAAGGAAAGCTAAGAAAGCGCGACTACGAAATCAAAGAACAAAGAAGTTGGAGGAGATGCAAGAAGTTATGAACTCGTTAATTTGTTAGCAAAGATAAAGGAAGAGAAAAAGATAGTGAATGAGATGAAATTTGAAATGTTTGAAAAACAATATCTTCAAGAACAACGTCTACTTCAAAAACTGCAACGTCTACTACAAGAGAAAGAGAAAATACAAATGGAGCAAGTAAGAGAGGCAGAGCGAATAATGTCGATGAATACGAGTTGCCTGCCTCCGTTGCAAGCTGAATATTATCAACGTCGCCAAATAGAAATCATGGGAAAGAAGATGTAATTTTTTTTAATTAATAGACAAACAACTTTATGTAGTTGCAAAAAGTACTGTAATAACATTTGCTTAAGTAGTGTCTAGTAGTTTTCATGTATATTCCACTGATGCTCGACTAGATCAGTTTAGAGTTTGGAATGAGTTTCTTTATCTCTAATACAATACTGTGTATAAATAAATCGGAATAGTTTTGAACCCCGCTCAAATATGACTGTGGCAGTGGGACTCTCATCCTTTGTATCATAAGTAAAGTCCAAGTCATTAGCATTCCACTCATCCTCGACAATCATATTATGTAATATTATACATGCCTTCATAATATCTTTAAGTACTTCAGCTGTCCAGAAACGTGTTGGTCCACGCACTATAGCAAATCTAGCTTGGAGCACTCCAAATGCTCGTTCAACATCCTTTCTTGCTGACTCTTGAGATTTTGCAAAATGTATTTACTTATTGCCTCTTGGAGATGGAATTGTTTGAAAAAATGTTGCCCATTTTAGATATATACCATCAACAAGGTAATACCCCATTGTATAATCGTTACCGTTGACCGAGAAATTGACTGGAGGAGCCCGACCTTCTGAAATGAGAGAAAAAACAGAAGAGCGTTCTAGTACGTTGATATCATTATGAGATCCGAGTAACCCAAAAAAGCCATGCCAAATCCAGAGACCATATGAAGCTACTGCCTCCAAAATAATTGTTGGTTCATGGACGTGACCAGAATACATATCTTTCCATGCAGTTAGACAATTCTTCCATTTCCAATACATACAATCAATGCTACCCAACATCCCAAGAAACCCCCGGTTGGTACTCATTGCTAATAATCTAGCAATGTCATCATTGTTTGGTGACCTGAGGTATTCATCGGAATAAATTGTTACTACCACCCTCACAAATCTTTTCAAACTTTCTATTACGGTGCTTTCGTCAATTCTCACATAATCATCAACAACATCTATTGCAATTTCATAAGCAAGCATTCTTATGGTGGCTATATCATCTTTTGAAGGGAAGACAAGCCAGTAGTTCCAACAGCATTTTTTTTTGGACAAAATATGGATCATAATCTTCCACTATGGATAAAATACGAAAGAAAATGGTTCGATTCATTCGAAACCTTCTTCGAAATAAATTTGGGGGATAGATAAGCGGTTCAACAAAATAATCACAATACAGTCTCTCATGGTCTTGAACTCGATTGCAAAAAATAACTGAATAATCTTGAATGGAACCACGACATACAACAAAGCTTTCCTCGCTATTGAGTTTGTTCATTTCAATAGCACAAATTGTTACCATCTCCAATGCATCGTCGGAGTCAGAATCGTTAATAATCATATTCATTGCATGATAGCGAGTCATAATATAAACACAAAGAAGAGTGCAATGCCAATAAATAGATTTGAGGTGTATGACAATGAGAGATGGAAGATCCTATTTATACATATCCAAAAATATGACCATTGCAAATATGACCGTTGTAAATATGACCGTTACAAATATGACCGTTATAAATATGACCGTTACAAATATGACCATTGAAAAACTCAAATTTTAAAATTTTGAATTTTTTGACCGTTGTAAATATGACCGTTATTAATAAAAATATTTTAAATTTTAAAATTTTGATGACATGGCGTAATACATCAGCATGTGATGTCATCAATATAGTGATGACATGACATACTACATAGTATTTTAGATTTTATTATTAAAAGTTAGTTGAAGTAGTTAGCTAAAATAGATAGTATTGTTGGAGTAAATTTGAAAAAGTGGTTAGCTAAAGTAAATAATACAATATTTAAATATATTTTAAGTAACTATTTTAAATAGTGCTGTTGGAGATGGTCTAACACATGATACATGAGAACAGTGTTCTGACTACTCCTTTAGAAAGTAGCATCCCAATGTGCATTAATACAGTATACATGAGAACAGTGTGTTCTGACTACTCCTTTAGAAAGTAGCATCCCAACCGTATTTAACTGCCAACACCCCCATCAGCGGAAAAGGGAATATCCAACATATATGATATATCCCATAATCTAAGTTTGCAATTGCAAGCTCATATAAATAAACCTTCAAAACATCAAATCAATGCTCAAAGAACATTCAAATGGTGAGGTAGCTAGAAATAAGCTCATACCTTCAATCGAGAGACGGCAACTGAAATGGCCCTTCCTGGAGCTTGAAGGGCTTTACCATGAACCTATGAACCAAGACAAAAACAACAGGAAAAAAGAGGGGGGAAACAAATACATACATAATTAGAAGAGGGAAAATGACACAGAAAAATGGTTCTCTATCTATGGGCAGGCAGTCCAAACGAGCAAAATCGTAAGCGAGGTGCAATACGTATAGAATCACCTGTATATAGAGTAGAGAAACAACTTTTGGCAGAAGTGAAACTGGATCAGTGTCAGCAGAAACTTGAGATGTTAAATCCTAAAAACAAAAACGAACATGTCATGTTAGAGTACAAAAAATAAAGAAAACCCGTCGTAGGCTGTCGATGGACTTATTTACATCTCTGGCCACAAAAAAAATTGGTATAGCCACTCTCTATGGCGATTGCTCAAGATAATTTAAAAAATGAACTTAGAAAGAAAGACCAGAAAGTAGCTAATCATTTCTTCTACAACAACTGCTGCAGATTACATCTCAATTTCAATTATATACGACAACGTTAATTTAGATGATAGTGTCAATCCACCAATGCAAGGTCATGTGATGCCATTTGAAATATCAAAAACCCACCCGCCATATCCCAAAAAACCCAGTCTCAGCAATCATTTTTCTATCACACATGATAACATCAGACACATGCACTTAACTTATGTAAAGAAACAGTTCTATATCTTCAAGTATTATGAATAAACCCTGAAAACAGGAATACCTTGCGATATGAATGCAGAAGAGTTCTCTCTAATTTCTTATCAAGCTTTTTGAAAGATAAGCCGCTGCACATATGCAAAAACCAAAATATGACTTAAGTGCCTCACTTGGACAAATGCTTTATAGGTACATCAATTTAGGAAAGAATATGTTCCCCACCTCTCCTCCACCATTGCTCTTAGTGCAGTCATAAATGTTTCCACCCGCTGTCATAGAAAACACTGATACTAACGACTGTAGAGTGAATTCAACTAATAAAATGAAATGCAACATCACAAGACTGTAAAAGAGTCTCACGGGATTTATAAAATAGTTTGACATTGAGCCAAGACGAGATGGAAATGCACAGTGAAGTAACAACAAAAGGACAAAAACAGTTATAAATTACCATTGCCAAAATCTAGAAGAAAACACAGTTCTCTTCAATAAGGGGGGGAGGACCAAAAAAAAAACATGAATTTAACACGAATGATATAAAAGAGCAGAAAAATACAAGTTGTACAGAAAAAATTCCTCAAGTGGATATCTGTGGAAACAGCCAAAAGGTGGACATTGATTCCTAATTGAGCAGTTAGTTAGGACTGCTTGAAAATTTCACCTATTCAAGGATATAGAGAGAAAATTACTAGATGGATAAAGACAGGTACGTGATCACAAGATTTCCAATTTTGCTTCATTTTTCCTTTTTGTTCTGTTTTCTATGCGGTCATGCGTGTCTTTGTTTTCTTTTTGTGTGTGTGTGTGTGTTTTGGGGGAGGGGGGAGATCAAATGGGCTCTAACATAAGTTTCTGTGATTTGGCTCTTCACAGAGAATTGAGGTCCCACAAAAAAGCACCCACCTTCCCTTCCAAGGCTTCAACTACTGCAACAGCCTTAACTGAAAGAGGTCCTGTAAAACTCTTAGCCTGTAAAAACAGAGTTCTAATTCAGAATATAGGCAAACGTCACATGATATATCAGGCAGCGGAGATCAATGTACCAGAGCAATTCTTTCCCCAGAACTTAGTGCTACATTTTCTGGATTTTGAGATTCTTCAACTTGAATTCCATTTTTCAACTTGTTTTGCTTGTCCTGCATTGAAAGAACCCATACCATCAGGCCCCACGCTCATCTTATCATCAACTTAGTCCATTAATACTATGATAGAAGTGAATCCAAGAAGGAATGATGTGTATGCTACCAAGTTCATTAAGAGAGTGTCCACCATAGACGTAGCTGTGGTTCTTAACAAATGTCGGTGTAAAAGCACCTGTGCATCACAGAACAGCTAAATTTTACTCATATGCTTCATCATAGAAAACTAGTACGAAAAAGTTCAACGTAACTTACCGAAGTTGATTGGTCATCTTCAAACAAATCTAGTGCTTTTTCATATAACTGCATATTCAGGAAAGGCTGGAAGCAACAAATATGTAAGAAACCTGAAAAGAAAGTTTAGCATACCACTACTGCTAAACTACAATGGTAAAATAACAGCTCCAAAGGGTTTACCACGAAGTGGAACCAGAGGTACTTACAACATAACCACAAGTGGAAAAAAATGTAAACAATTTGTCGGACATAGTAGCATATATGAATAAGTAGTTAAGTACGCTGTGGAGACACGATTTCCACCTTAGATACAAAAGGGGAAAATACCCGGAGGTGGAACACATTATGGTGACAAAGCCACCACTGTATTGTGCTTACCTCGTCAAGTCTCTGTTGCAAATTATCTAGTAAACGTTTCATTCTCTGTGCATTTTCTGTGAATGCAACCTTACTTCTTTCTTTCCATGAATTGAGAAGCATTGGTCTCAAATGATGTGCTAAAGGAACAAGAATTGTCTCGACATCATCTATACCTACAAAGTCACACCACCATGTCAGTCAACATCAAGCAAAAAAGAAATGCCTAATCACCCAGATAATCAATAAGATAATTGTAACTAAATTCAGATCACCTTGTTCTTCAAAGTCAGGGACTAGCGCCATGATCTTTTGAGTTAACCATTCTTCTGAAAGAATACTATTGCTATCCTCTTTCATCTTGTCCATATCTTTTCTAGAACCAGACTTTGAATCTGAAACTTGCAAGGAAGATGTCACCTTTCCTCTTCGCTGGTTTTTCTTAGTTTTAGCAGGAATAGGTTCTTGGTCATCTGGACCACTTTCAGCTGCCCCGGCCTTGGTATTCCCTGTGGATTTTCCCTTCCTCTTCTTCAATCCTTTATCTGACGCTTTTTTAGTAGTACCACTCTCATTACCTGTTTCATTTGACTCAGCTGGATTGCTGCTTGTGTCGTGTTCAACTTTGGTGTCTTTGACTGCATGCATATCATCGCTTACTCCAGAGATAGAAAACCCAGATGGACCAAAGGTTTGCATCTCTTTCTCCGTGCGATCAAACAGATCCTGCCAAACAAGGTAAAAAGGGAGAAAGTGCAAGCATCAGAGTTTATAGATACAATTTTTCTTTTATTAATAGAGAAAAGTCATTCTTCAGTGGTCACACAACAGTCAAATAAGTTACATGACAAACTGTAAACAAAGAGTCAACAGGATCTTCCCAACAAATGCTAATTCACATATTTGTTTACAAAATAATATAAAATGAACTCTCTCCTTCTTGCTTCTTTTTCCATCTTTTATTTATTTTGTCTCTTTTTTTTTTGTCGGGTTTTTTTTCTTTTTTCTTTGTGTGTGTTATTTATTTATTTATTTTTTTTTGGGGGGGGGATTGTGCTTCAGATCATGACACTCAAAACAATGAAAGACATGTCTAAAAAGGAAATGGAAAAGAGAAAAAAGTGGAGAACAAAGAGCAAATCACAGCTTATTTGTGTAGCCTTTAAGTTAAAAACAAGCAAAAAGATTCATAAAAAAATTAGTCAAACATTGCCCTAAACCTCAGCTGCATGTAGAAATACTAAGTCACCATGAAAGTGCAGACTGGCTGTTTCCGAGACAAAATAACCCCAACAATTACATCTAGTTTTCCAGTTCAAAAAAATAATAATATCTAGTTTTCAAGTTAGTACTCTCCCTTCACTGAACCGGGTCAATAGTACTAATCAGCTAACTCAACCTACAGATCCAACCTGCTTCTTCAACAATTTGAGCTATGTTCCAAGTCCAAACAATCACTCCCACCATGCAGACTCGCAACCATACATGCACAAAGAATTTTCTATCCAAAACCAAGAAGAAATAAGTGAAAGGAGTTGCACAAAATAGTACATGATATAACCAGCAGAACCAATTAGGCCACAGAAACATTCTTCACAACGGAACACATTGTGTCATACATCCTATATATATGGCAACCATATTTCTGATGAAAATTTTAGAGAGCTTTACCCATTGAGATTGCACTTCTAGCATTTCAAGTTGGTAATCCACATCAGGCTTCACAATTCAAATATAACACAAAATTTTCTCATAGTGTTTTCAGTGTTGTGCAGCTTACTTTAAACCGAAAACAGTCTTTTTGGAGATTGTACAAAATAGTCAAACACTAACATACGTCAATCAAAATATGAAAAAAAAAAAAAAAAAAGCATGTTTATGCCACGCCTCACAACCTCTGGAAAAAGGCACCAAAAGGATAGGGAGTTAAACAAGAGTTTCGTTTGTAACAAAAGCTTGGGTGGCATGCATATAAGCGATATCAAAACAGCAGAGTGAAACCACAGCAAAAAACATAAACCATTCTAACTCTTGCCTTTTTACATGCATTTATCTTGAGGGGGAGTGTTGGAGTTATAGTCTAGTCTACTAGGGTTTTTTTCCCTTTTTATCCTTACTATGACTTTTATGTCTTACCTAGACCAGAGCGATGTTCAGGTCTTTTTATACCATTGTTTGGCTCTATATACGGGGCTCTACACTTAGTTGTATCCCTTTCACTCCCAGATATCTCTAGTAAATGAAAGCACCAAGTGAATTTCATCTAATATAGCAACATTAACACACTGATTCAACTAATTCCTCATGTGATTCTGTACTCTATTCCAAATGTCAAAATATACTACAGCACAGAGCCACATAAGAAATAGGGGATCACTAAATTAACAACTCATTCGGAATGGATATCGTATTTAATTATATAAAAGTCCTACCTTGACAAATTCATTGCTAAAAAGATACAACTCTCCCAAGATGAGTGCTTTGTTAGACTGAAAAAGCAAAATTAGTAAAATTAGAAATATATAAAATATGTCCACAAATTAATTGCATGACCGAGTAGTGACAGGTTAACACGACATCACCTTCACGGCAACCTGAACAGATGAACAAAGTGAGAGAAGCTTAGATGCATCTTGGGAACCAAAGGATGCTGGTAAAACTGAAAGTGAATGAATCCTGCATTGGTCCCATAGTAATTTCTTAAAAGAAAGCACAATGTCTTAAAGCAACAATGTTAGAATGCACGGAAAAAAAAAACACATCTAAGTGAAATGAGTCCAAGACAGCGGTGAATAGCACTATCTAATTTTTCTCACTAATTCTGAACTTAGACTTGACTCCTTTATGTCACTGTTTCATGGATTCTCAGCCAAGGCCTTTTTGTCATTTTATGATTTCACTCACTGTTTTGTGCGCTCAATAGCACGTGTGACTGCTCAATTAAACAGAATGATCAATGATCAGTTACTGTGATCAGCAACTCCCCCTAACTGCTGATCACTATTTTCTGTTTGATGTACCCTATTTAAGTTCAGACAGTGCACTGGACAGTGATATATTTGTTTGATAAACAGGCAAAACATAAATATCAGATATGAAATCAATTAACCTCCGGAAAACTAGTTCACAGAAAGAGTTTCTAATTAATACAAATCAAGTTTTCTACAAGAATTCCATACATGAGTCAATCATGGAAAATATCAGCAAACACATGCCTGGAGCTTCCCTTCATTGAAAATGGATAAAACTATTGACTATTCACCTTAAACTACCACAAAGAGGCACCCGATGGTAAACACAAGTTTGAACCACATTACAAAAAACCTGGGGGTTGTTACTTGCTGTCTTGTGCTTCCGACTGCAGTATACAACACTAGCTCATGTTCAAGCATATTATTTATGAACTTAATGGCCACACAGTTCCCAGAATTTGAGCCATTTTTTTTTGTTTTTTTACTGTAAGTACCTGAAAAGGCACTTCAAAGTAAATAATAGTGCAATATGACAAGTGCTTATGTTTAACATAATACCCACTTCCATGCACACCAGACAGAATCCTACTTTCAGCAGTTACTCAATTCCCAATTTACAGCTAATAAGAAACAAAGAATAGCAATTAGCAAGTGAATTTCATGCCTTGCCAGATTGAAATTTGAGAGAATCAGAACTACAAAAAAGATAAAAGTAATGCTGAATTCATGTCCTTACCAGCTCCCACGTTCTATGGCATCCTCCACAGCAGCATCTAACATATCAATCATCGATGGGTGGACAAATATGGTAACCAAAGGTATTCCTTCAGGGTACCTGGACTAAATTGATGTGCATGATCACAACTGTAAAATTAGACAAACAATAACAAGCTTCCTTGCATCCATGGAATACAAATGGCCCTTAGATACCTGCAGAAACTGGATGGGCTGTGAAATTCCAAGTTTGTGCAGAGCTTCATAGCTAATAAAAGAATTCTGGGATGTGAAAAGACAGCAAACAAAGATTAAAGAACTGACAGGTAGATAAGAAGTTAATTAGATATTGTCCTGTTAGTACATAAATAGTAAACCAATAACAACATAATAGTAAAAATATAATCACTTTACACATCACAATGCCAAGTGAAATGTTAAACATCTTTATTGAAAAAGTACACACTCACCCACAAGTGACTCAATTTCTTTGATACTAAGAATTATTTGCAACCTTAATGAAGTTAAAAAGTACCTTTCACCAACCCAAACCCGAAATTATTTTCTTTAACAATGGACATGATCTCAATGGTCAAAATCCCAAAACATAGCAAAAAAGTCAATGCAAAACTATAGCCACTCCAAAAGGAAAACCTACAAAATGATCTTGGATAATGTTTTTGAAGTGAGAATTAACCAAGATGTGGACATAAGCACCATAAAGTCTAGTAGACGATCATAACATCAGAAGAGCAGGCAACCTAAAAGCAAAGTGTGCTCCAGTCAACAGTATGATAAACAAATTTAAGTGTTTGATAAATTAAATTGATCAAATAATATGACTAGCATCCCTGGCGAGGTACACATTGGTCGATTGAAATGAATTTATATTTCTCCCCTATATCAAAACATGATAAACAAATGGAAAAGTATGGCCTCATACCTGCGAAATTAAAGAATCTATGCACTCCTTTTGAGCAATGGCAAAGACCTGTTCAAATACACTCAATATAAGACAACATTTTCATCACAACAAAACTAAAATAATCATACTTAGCAGTAGACTATGGGACACATTAAAACTACATTTCAAGAGCTCAAGGATTATTATGTCACGTACAGTGGGTGACCAGTGAACCCCGGCCCTAAGTGACCCCAGAATCTCGCCTTCCTTCACCATCCCATTAAACAATGACTGAAGAAAGGAATTTTCAACAGCTACGCCACTAGCTCCATCCATTTCTTGCAATAAAACCTGCAATGAGCTCCACAATGCGGACAAATTCATAGGAACAGTGATTCCCCTGGCAGCACCACAAACCATCGCACTAACGCGTGCAACATATGCAGGCGTATACAGTTGCCCCCCTTCAAGCCTACCCTTTACCTAAATTCACCCCACAATATTTTTCAGAAAAAGAGTAAAATCCAAGTGGCATAATTGTAAGTAAATTGCAAATATTGAAGGCAACTGTGAAAACTAAATTACCAGAGTTCCGAGTCGAGGTTCTAGTACGGAAACGAGTAATTCTGAGCCCACTTGAAACTGTGCGGCAATTTCGGCTAGAGCAATTTGACTGCATTCTTGGAGTCTTTCGTTAATTTCTTCGGCCATGGTGTCCCAGTATGAATTGGAGATAATTTCACCGTTAATTAGTACAAGCGATGAGTCATTGGAAACTATGTGTTGAGCTTGTTTTTCTACATGGTATAAATCTACGTAAGTTCTGTCAGCCAAATCAATGACCGACACACGCCCTAATTTCTCTATTTCAACCACCATCTCATTCCTCAATTGTTCCTGTTATCATCAAACAAATAATCAACAAAAATTGGGTACATGTATACATAATACATCCATATGTATATATAAATCACCAGAGAGAGAGAGCTGTACAGGAGTGATGTATTCTTTGCCGGAGACGGTGTGGAGAAGATCGAAGTCGATAATTTGCAGTTGTTGGAGTTTTTGAACCAATTCGACGACATTCCGTTCTGATAAACGTATGCTCGATTTGGCTTGCTGAGCGAACTCGAATTGCCTCTGTAATTCGAGCAGTTCTTCATCCATCTTTGGATTTTCTGCTCCGTACAAAATTACGATCAGAATATGTGCGTTTGCGTGTGTGTATGCATAGAGAGAGAGAGAGAGAGAGAGAGAGAGACTTTGAGTCCTACCGGAGTTACCGGTTACGAAGGAAGTCCGGTTCGATTAGGAAACCAAGTGGGTTCAGCAATCAGCATTGCATAGTTTGGGCCAACAAAGGAAACATAAGCTCATATTGGACCCTTGAAATCCAAATAAGTACCCAAAAGTTAATGCAATTAGGGCCCAAAAAGCAGAAGGTCCTACTCCTCTCTATCCTTTCGCCTTTCTATCTTTTATTTTTTCTTTCTTCTTTTTTGAGGGGAGAATGGCAAAATGCCACACATATATTGATAAATGGTTTTGCACCCGTAAGTATTCAATTCGGATTAGTTTATAAAAGGCCAATTAGAATTGTGAGGAATGTCACCATTAGGTTGAGTTGAACTAGACCTTGGATCGGCCTCCACTTCAGAAGACTCAACTCAATATCTAATCATTTTTTTGTCTACAAATTTGCAAAGCGAGCTGAACAGGCTCTACAGGTTGATGGACAACAACACTGCTTTGTATCTTCATAGCAGGATCAACTACGGGGCAAACCAAAGTGTCGAGTAAGTAAAATGAATTTCAATTTTGTTCCTTCACTCTACACCTAAAAATGTTTCGAAATTTTCAAGTTTGACCCTCGAAAGAGATATACGGATAGAATTTATGTGTAGTTTAAAAAATGTGTGATTAGAACATTTATTCATCCTCTCCCACATGGCTCTTAGATGCATTCCAAAATTACCTATTTTTCTTTATTTTCAAAATCCCAAAAGCATGTTGGTTGAATATTAATGATATAGAAACTTGAAACGGGAGAGGAGTGCTTAAGCTGAAAAGTTCAAGACTTGTGAATAGTGGTGTGTGAGTGAATGGTGGTGGAGAGGAAGACGACATGAGGTTGAGCTCGGTGGCTCTGGATAATACTATAGTAAATCAAGAACAATGACACGAGCTAGAGACAAATAACGACACATAGATTATAGTTGTTCACTAACCGAAAAATTTGGTTAATCCACTTTAATGGAATTTCGTTCTCCTGTTAAGTTTTCTATTACTTGGAGAATAAGGTGGGGTTACAATTATAGAGATTACAATTCATTGATTGTCTTTACATGGGTGAATGCCCTTGTATTTATAACCACAAGTGAGGTATTCCTCATGTCATCATTACATGGTTCCTAAGTTTGTTAAGATTTTGTTGAGAGAATATTGAGTCGTAAGAGATTATATTTTCTAGGTATGATATAGCCTTGTAGAACATGTTGAGGTGGCAATGTGACATATCTTTAGGCTTGGATACGTTATGGTCCTCCAAATATATGAAAAATCTTGCTGTGAGGTCGTTTTGATTTGAAACAACCTCCTATACTTTTAGTCAATTCGTGAATAAAGGAATTTGACTCAAACACCTGTTCTAAATTAGAGATGTCACTTCTCCTCGTGATGTAGCATGAATGACTTGGGTACGTTTTACCTAATGTCATACTTGGGTGAACTAGATTTCTTTGACTGAGGATGTCTGTAAACAATTTAGACATTTTTGCCTAAGACTGAATGTACAACACTGAGGTCGAGAGATAGACCTAGTCCATTAATTCTTTTCACAAACCAGCTACTAGCCATTGAAGTTTTCTTTTATTTATTCCTAATGTCATTTTTTAGTATCATCAAATACTACTTGTGTATAACCATGGAAAATGCAGGCAAGATATAACTTCTAATGAAGAACTCAACTTCACAATTTGATGTTGAAGATCTTGATGGTTTAGAACTAAAACTATCGGTGTTTACATACCAAGGATCGTTGGCATGTCCATAATTGCTTCAACCGAGTTTGGAAATTCAAAGAAGTCCTAAATTATCCCAACATTCATTCTGACACAATACCTTACGGGTTTGTCATAACAGAAAATGATCCCCCATGGCCAATAATGGCATACGCAATCCATGCACAAAATAGAACATACTCTATATGTTTGTCCGTTGATTTCTCCCCTCGAACCTCTGTATAAGTCTACTTTGTTCTCTATTTCATGAACCCGGTGACTGTAAGTGGTTCTGCCAATGTGACTATTTCTCCGGCAGAGGGATAGACATTGGTCCCGCTCCTAAATGCAATGGAAGTGTTATCTGCAATTGATGAATCCAAAGGTGGACATTTGTTCAATTTCCCACCATTTTTGGATTGCTGTTCTTAAGTTGTAACTGTGCATTTTGTGTTACTTTGGGTTTGGGGAGGGGCTACAAACTACAATGAAGAAATGGATTTTCTACTTTTCATTGTGAATGCACCAGGAGAATTAGATGGTTAATTGAAGAGCCCTTTGTTTTTTATACTTGATTGTAAACATCCCACAGAAAGAGTCATAACCACCACCAAAGTTCTTGTCTAAATATAGTTTCTCAGAACCTGAAAGAGATAAATAATAAACCATCTTACCCTTATTTTGGAGAGACTAATATTTTATTTGGTATGATAAAAAAATAAAAGGATAAAAAATTAAAAAAATAAATAAAACATTAAGTTTTGTCAAAAAGAAAAATAAAAAGAATAAAAAAATGGATGGTTTACTATTTCTTTTAACTCAGCCAAAATCAAACCTTACAAAACTAAGAGGAAAAGTGGATAAAAAATTAATTATGTTTGCTAAAATATATCTTACTAATATTAAGAATAATTCATATTTGAAGGCACAATGCAATATAAATGATTTTGAGAAAGATATTAGTAACCATTTGATGAATCTACTTGAGACCGTCGAATAGATTTATTAAAACCCGTCCTATTTTATATTATCTATATTATTTAAAACCTATCCTATTTTATATTATAAATTTGTCTATATATCATTTAATATATGTATATATCATATTCACCTATTACATATTACGTATACATTAATTTAATGTATAAATATAACGGTAAAATATGTATCTATACTTTTTCCATCCTTCCACTTTTTTATCTTCCCAGCCACAAAAAAAAAAAAAATTCAATCATTCCTACTTTTCACCCTTTCTACCAAATACAAAAGAGGGAAGAACGAAGATGTGTACTTGAAAGAGAAAATATATCACTCCCACTTGCCATCCTTTGATTTTTCCATCTACCCTATCAAACACACTACAATTCCCACTATTGTTTGGACAAATGTATACTTACTATCAGTAAAATAGCTGTTGCATATAACCAAATTTCATGTAAAGGAGGCTATAAACAAAATTGCTGATAACTGAGACAAGTTGTATACATTATTGCTTACAGTTCAAAAGAAAACTGAAGCTTCTAACTGACATGCATTCTACCCAATAACTTTAAACAGAGCTTTACAAGGTAAACAACGAATACTTCATTGATGTCGAGGTAAAGCTGGTCTCTTTTCCACCATATCATAGTGGAGAACAAAATTATCCTGCAACAAATACATGTAATTTATTGTGGGGGACTGATTGGAATGTAACAATCGATAAACTGAATGGGTATTGATAGATTCAAACCTTGCGGATTGTTTCCCACGTGTTTGGATCAAAACAAATATACGATCCTCTCTCGTACGCAGCTGTCTTAACAAGAGGCTCCATGTCAGCAACCCGCAAAAACCACAACCGGTGCTCTCTGTGATAGAACCAGCCTCTATTGTAACTGCAAACATTAGGTTTAAAACAGCTTTTAGCAAAATTGCGACTGTCCTTGACTGATTAGCGTGACTGCAGAATGTGATAATCTTAAAGCAATGCCGAAGTTTATTAATGAAAGACATGGATAAGTTTATAAATGAAAGACATCGATTCTTTATAAATTGCAACGAGGTAAATGAACATGCAGCAGAAAAAGTATAAACAAACACACATGCAAAAAGCATAAAACAAGGTTCATATGGCTGAGAGCATACAGTTCATCTGAAGCATGTAGCTGTGCTTCATCTTTTGGCATGCTGCACATAAAAAGGAACAAAGAATTGGGTTGTGTTTATCAGCATAAAATTCACAAGAATAATGGAGACCCAATAACAAGATGTACCTGTAAAAAACATAGAAGACGGTGTCCAACGAGAATTTTGAGAAATAGCTTTGCTGCAGCCGCCGTACAGATAGTTAGCAGTAAATGAAAAAGGCCAACAGAATAATGCCAAAAACAAGAATTCAGAGTAGCTTACATTGAGAGCTGGTGGTTGTCTAGCATAATAACACTGTGGCACATTGAACTCTGGATCTCCCTTGGCAGGCTCGTCAGACCACGGGGAACCAAATGCCTTGTGAAGATTTTCCGTTGAGTTCAAGTTCAATCCGAGTGTGGTCAAATCAATTCCAAGTGCAAGGGAAGTCAAGTCAGGATCGCTCATTCTTATCACGCTTAACAAACCAAGCAAACCAAATGGGTCCGGAGAAGCTTGTGCAGGCTGCATAGACTTGAGGCCCTGATCTCTAAATGAATGATTTACAGAAGACATTTGCTGAAGACGAAACTGGGATTGATTTTGATGTTGTTGATACTGCTGAATAAGTTGGTCATATGACCCCATACCAGAAACTGTATTAGGAGAGTTAAGAGGTCGCAATCCTATGCCCGGGGTTCCTCCGCTCTGAACCAACACAATCCAAAAAACATATCATTGCATGAACAAGGATATATATTCCAATAAAAAAAAATAAGAGGAGAAGAAAAAGATATTTGCTTTCAAAATCAATACCGAGGAGTAACTCTCCACAGAAAAAAAATTAAAAAAAAAATGGAAAAAACCAAAGCACCAACATATTTTGTTCCATGTGGCACTACCGATCAGTCATCTCCAACTTCAACATTATTTATAACAAAGGCAAATAAAAATCATTTTCTGCCAATCTACATTTTATTGGGATAACAAGCTCCAACGACCATAGTGGAAGCGGATGACTATCCTGTTCAAGCCAGGAACTCAAACATCTCTACAAAAGTAGTGACAACAGCCAAGGTGGCACCCATCTAGAGCTGCAGTGAAAGGTTGGATAGGTCTTTGGTTTAAAAAATAGATCAATGACATCACAAGGAGAGAACAGGGGGAAAAGACCCTCCAATACCAAAAGGAAAAGAAAACAGAGAAAAACTTGCATCTTTGTGGTGTCCATACACCACTTAGTTACGTTCTAAAAAGAAAAAGAAGAAAAAAACCTGTGAGTGATATGTTGAATGCGATGATGGAAACATATCTGAACCATGTAAATGGAGAAAATCCTGATTGTTCATGGTTGAATAGGACATGCCACTGCTACTGACGGAAGAAGCATGTTGTTGTAGTTGTTGCTGCTGCGGGCGGTGAGATGAATATGTTCCCCCCATGTTGAATCCAGCCGACCTCCCCATCTGCAGATTAAATGATACAGTGCAAGCATAAAACCCAAGAAGCACAAAGTACAAGAATGAAAATGCTCTAAAATGGATGAATGCCCGGATCTTTCACAAAAGAAAAACTCACTGAGAAGTGTTGAGGCATCATAGTAACAGTGTTTTCATGAATTTGTTCTTTCTGATGAAACTCCATACCAAAATCAGAATTGCCACCTGAGTAAAATCTAATTGATAGTTAACAACAAACGAACCAAATACAATTAGTCAACTTTTATAATAAAGATGTGTCTAAATTCCAAGCATTAGGGACAGAATAACTAGAATGTAACTACCATAAATGAACCTCTTCAAATTTCATCACACAAGCTGGAAATACAAGAAGTCAGATAAGATATAAACTTCATACACAATGTTAGAAACTCTAGTAAGCATGCTTATCAGATGCTAAAAATTTCAAGCAACAATAGGCTCTTTTCTCCACCCAAAGCCGAACTAGCCATTTAAAAAAACCAATTTTGAAAAAATTGTGCAGACAAATGCACTTTAATTGTGCAGACAAAAAAAAACCAAGCATATCATGATTATTTTCACATTAATACATACATAAAAGTGTAACGTTAAAGTGTACGTGGTGCTTTCATGGCAGAGTAAGTGTGGGAGATGGGGGCCAGTGGCCATGCGTTATATTTTCAAGAGTCAAAAAATTTAGTTCTAAGATTACAAAAAAAAAAAATTATCTTATTTTAAAAATTTTGCTTTCCATATAAGATTAAATATACACTCTTCATATCTTCAAGATTATGATTAATACGGTATGGACGTTTTCTTTTTAGTTCATGGCCACATTTGGTAGGTTTTTACATTTTATTTTGAGCTTCTTTGATTAGTGGGCATTGGATCATAATCTACTCCAGTTAAAAAGTACGCACCTAAGGCTATGATGCATAGCTTCCATAATCGTGTTATTTTGTACATACCTACATATATATGTATGTTATGTCTCTCTCTCTCTCTCTCTCTCTCTCTCTCTCTTTATAAATATATATTTAGCTTAAAATGCAAGCACCTTTAAATCCTGGTAATGCCGGAAAATCTTCATTTTGGATGCTGAACTCCTGGTTTTGTTGCATCATAGGATTAACACCAAGACCTTGTTTTCGCAATGAACCTGAAAATTTTATGGTTTCAAAAGTTGTCGACCAAGATGAGCATTTGGAGAAAATTACCTAACAGCAAAACGTGGCACTACAGTTACCTATTTGTCCTGGAGGCCCACCAGCAGAATTGGGACGGCTGGTCAACTGAGGAAAATCATTTATATCAAATGGAGAACCATCATTGGAGTTTACATCGTTCAACATTCCCATAGAGCTCAGATTATTCACCGCATGGACATGGTTTTGGGATAGTGGGCCACCAGCAGTAGGATAGTTATTTCCCAGCATAGAGATCAGCTGCGGAGAAGCTGAACCCAAAGAAAGTCATTTTAACATAACAGCAACATCAACCAAGTACATCACTAAGTAATCCACACTCCTCTTCGCAAAGAAAATTAGCATAATCTTAAAGTAATCTAGGAATAGATTAGCGATCGACCACTTCATGGTGTAGCGATAAAAACTGTAACATAATCCAAGCAGAATCACATAAAACAGTAACATAAATAAATAACCAATAAGTCCTATTTTAAACAACAAAACACAATCTACTTGAATTCCTATTTTACCACTTATAACAGCGAAAACGATGCCGTTACTAACACCAAATATTTAACAATTCATTAAACCATAGCTTGTAAAATCAAAATCACACTACAACTTGTGCAAAACTCAGTCGAATCATTAAGTTGATATTGATTTAAATTGGTTAAAAAATCATTTAAGTTAATAAAACTAATGAATCTGTTGTGAATAGTGGCAGACCAATATTATCATAGGGTTATTGAAATGATACTTTTAAAATAATATTAAAAATGTATAATATGTTTAGAGATACAAACAAGAAGGGTTTTCTAGTTATAATGGGTAAAACAGGAAATAAAATAGATTGGGTACTTAATCGGAATGATCACAAGATAAACATCTAAAAACTACAAACAAAAGGCATTATATTATCCCCCTACTATAAAAGGCAGAGAATATATCACCCAAACCAGGAAACCCATAAAACGCAGAAAAAAGGTCCCAATTACTGCTAATTTGGCTCAACATCTGCTCCTTCCTCACAAAGCAGAAGACTAGTGAGATGCAATGAGTTTGTTACACACTACGTTCCAAAAGAACAAGGAAAATACGTCCTCAGAATGATTTCACATGCAATAGTCCCAGGAAAAGTAAAATGGCCAAATTGCGTACTCTTTTCATAAGAAATGAGTGGCCCTCACCACCATATTGCAAAATTTCCAGGCCCACTGGATCACAAATGAAGCTCAAACAATGGGATGTGAGATCCTTGTACTTATCAGGCAAGAAAGTATGCAGTGTACATCTGTGATTAACATGTAAGTAAACTATTTCCGGCACTATATAGACTAGAACTTGCATAAAATTAAAGGAATAAGTGGTAAAATAACAAGGAAACTTGAGGAGCATAAAGGACATCAGCATGGAAAGCGAAAATAACAAGGGGAGTATACAGCCATGGAAGAGGTAGATGATGGCATTCAACCAGTTTAATAGGCTATTGACAACATCAGTCTAATTAAGGTCATTGAGCAAGGCATAGATCCTGCATCAGACTGACTGGTGTAAGAACTCTAATGTTAATATTAACCTTCTCTTGTTCTATAGTTCAAGTTTCAACCACTTCATTCATATGAGGGGCTATTGTTTAAATTAACTGGCCTTCTGCAATCCTGCAGACCAACAGCAATTATGGGCAAGATAGAAATTGTCATGCAAGCTCTAGCCACATTATCAAAGAAGTAGTGACATTAAGGTATTGGACTTGTACCTTTAACAGAGCAACTTTTATCCTCTCTATAAGACTTCACAAGATGCAACGAATAATAGCTTCATGAAATAGAAAAAATTCTTGCACATAACATCTTTCTAGTTAGTATAGCATTGGTAGGAGCTCAAGCCATCAGGTATTGTGAATTATTAAACACTGACGAACCAAGGAAAGTGCAATTAAGCACATTTTCTAAAAACACAAGAAACTGCAACCATTTGAGGACAATTTACCTTGTTGGAGCATACCACTCATTAATCTATTTGGCCCTTGCACATTAATATTGCCAGAACCACTATTGGCAGTTAGACTAAGGCGAGAAGCAAGACCAGGCATGGATAATCCTCCACCAGAACTCATGCTTCTCCCAATATTGCCCCCACCAACGATGTTTCCCATCGAATTTGTTATCCTAGGACCTGCATTTCCCATAAGTGGAGAGACTCCCAGTCCTGGAGTAGCACTTCTGTTACCAATTGCTGCAGAGGTTGGAAGAATCCCAGGTATAGAACCACCAACTCCGTTTGTGCTACTACTAAATCCAGGACTTCCAACAACATTCAAGCCACCTCTACTTGTCACCCCTGAATGACCATGTGAGCTGCCATGAGACATCTACATATGGAAAAACAATACTTTTTTGTTACAAGCACAAATCAAATGCTATATGCAACCGATACACAAGTGAAAACCATCTGAACAATACAGCAGAATAGAATAAATTTCCACCAGTAAGCATTCTTTTCTATAATTTTCTCCTGTAGCATTCTGATATGTCATATGCAAAACAGATAAAATTACCTGGGACAAACCAACATGAAGATTGTTTGATGCAAAGCGTCCACTTGAAAGGTTTCCGGTAGGTTGTTGAACCCCACTTGAAGGAACATTAATTGTTGCAGAGCTTCTCGACCCATTGGCTCCTGGCATGTTAGGAACATTAAAGCTCCCATGAATGTTAGGCATTCCTTGAATAGTACCTGAAAGAAAGAAGCCTCCCTTATTTTAACTATGGAAGAATACAAACTTTACTAATACTCCAGACAAAATTCGCTCAACGGTGTGCTGAGAAACAGGGGAGGCTGAACCAGATTGAGCAGAGAAAGATGTAGCAAAAGATCGTCCAGTGCCATCCGAAAGATTTGAAGCCGATCCATTCAGAGAGGACTGCAGCCAGATATGTGATAAGTTTTAAAACAAAAAAAAAAATTTAACATCTACCAGAATTATCAATATGACCATAACAATGTCACTTAGTGCAACAGTTAGCCATGACAAAACCCCTTATTAAGATGATGATAAGATCATGCAGTATTCATGAATATGAGTTAAATCACTAGCAAATCCAAGCGTAAATTGAACAGGAAGTGTGTGACTGCGAACATCTTCCGGTTCACTGTTTGTCCATAATATAATTTATAGCTAAAGTATAACAGCTTTCCCTTGCCAATGACATTAGCTTCTTGATAAAAATAACAAGCATGGGGTTAAGGGGAATCCTTGCTAGGCGCTATGCGTAACAGACTTCTGAATGCAAAGAAACATGAAACCCTCTCCCACCTTTTCTATCTATCCTTAGAAGTAGGACGAGAGCAAACCATAGCGAAGAAAGACAACAAATATAAGGCGATTATCGGACACAAAATAAGTGCCAACTTCTATATCCGGAGAAAGATACTCATATTACACCAGATTAAGTCAAGCATATGCAAATCAAAGCAATACATTAGTGCCTCAAAAGCACCCATATAATCCATAAACACCAAACATTGCAATAGCTTTCCCAAATCATACAGATCAACTCCAAAGGGATCGATTTTGGTACTTGTTTGCAATATTGATGATTTTCCAAACAGAGAAGATCTCATAATCATATGTCCTAATTTTCATACTTGCTGATGAGGTCATCACATGCATGCTAACACAGTACACCCATTGAAAACAATTCACTTCTAATAAAAGAACCCATTGGTTAGCGTAAAATGCACCAACTGTAGCCACCAACAAAAAATTACCAATTCATTTGAGGAAATGAGCCCGAATTTTCAACAAGAAGAACACTAATCTTTCATCATATTTCATGCAAATGTGAAGTTTATGTAAAGAATGGACCGTACATTAAGTAACCCTGACATTGCAAAAATGTCAGAAGATCATCCAGAAAATTGTTCTCTTCCGAAGAGCAGCTTTTTCCTTATCTTCAAAGCAATTTGACAGGAAAATTCTGATTTTGAAGCTATTCTCTGTACATAAATAACCTACAACCTGAAAAGCCAAACATGATTGGAGCAGCCAACTGAAAACATGATTAAACATCACAACCATCTGATCATACATTGCACACATATGAGAATGACACATAATGTACACAGTAAGTCAGAAATAAAGGTAAGTGGCACAATGTCTGCATGTACAATGCACACAACTGAAAAAATGTATACAAAAGGGAAAGAACCCAATTAGCAAATCAATCATTGAAATAAATGCCAAAACTCACTCAATTAAACAGTTTCACATCTAAAAGAGAACAATCAAAACATATAAATTCCGAGTCCAACTATACAAAAACAGTAATAACGCAAAAACCTTCCCATCAAATCATTAAAGAAAAAATCTTATCACAGAAGTAATTACAATTCATCTATGAGCAACATGAGATTGATAACTAAATTGAAAGCAACTTAAAAAAAAAAATAGTAAAATCAACGTAGGGTTACAGTTTTCACATGAAGGGTAAAACCAGTAAAGTACTTGTGGAAATAATTTTCGAATAATTTCTGCTACCTCCATAACATACATAACTATCACATTCAGTAGATATTCTCTTTCTGTAGCTCTAACAAATATGCATATATATATAAATATAGATTTACATACACACCCACACAAGATCAAACTGTATTTGTAACCCTAGTTTTTACAAATTTTCTGGATTTTTTGGGGATTATGTCGGGCGGTCTTGCTTGTCCGTGTCCTGGGTTTCAGTTACTAGAAATCAAAGACAAGGCAATATATGTAAAAGGAACTGTATTTTGTGTATGTAGAGAGAAGATGGAAAGTCATTACCTGAGAGAGAGAGAGAGAGAGAGTGGACGTCACAGATCTAGTTGTGAAAGTATTGGAGAGTCCACCGATCGACGGTAAAGGATCGGAAAAAGGAGGGTGGGGGGGGGGGGGGGGGGGGGCAAAACCGGTCAAATGCAAGCCCAAGTAGTAAAGGGTTAATTGCAAATGTGACTCCAAAAAATTATTCAAATCTCAATTTGTATTCCTAAAGATTAAAAATTTTAATTTATACCCACAAAGATAGAAATTTATATCAATGTGCATCCCCAAAGATCAAAAATTTTAATTTATACCCTCAAATATATAAATTTGTATCAATATGCACCTAAAACTAACTGTCATCAGTTTGCTGCCTAAAACTAAATTAATAAATTATATCTAGATCCCCTCATGCTTATTACTTAATTATTTGGACCCCTTCACAAAATAAAGGGTACTATGAAATTATAATTTTTTATTAGGATAAAATCATATTTTTTAACAGTTATAAAATCCTAATAAAAATACTCTCAATCTAAAATGTCCCCCCCAATTGGGTATTTAAATAATTATTGTAAGTAATATATTGCATTGCATATAACAAACATTATATAAATACCTACATCCTATTGGACATTCAAATAATAAACTTAATTTTAAATTTTAGAGTATATCGGACCCACAAAATAAAAGTTAATATGAAGTTATAATTTTTTATTAGGATAAAATCATATTTTTTAACGGTTATATTAACATATATCAACGAAACGTATAGCGTGTTACACATGCACAAAACGTCATGAAATGTATGAATAATATTCTAAATGTGAAAGGGGTTTAAATGATTAAATGACAAGCATGAAAGGATCTGATTATAATTTATCAATTTAATTTTAGGCAGCAAATTGGCGGCGATTAGTTTTAAGTGCACATTGATACAAATTTCTATCTTTGATGGTACAAATTAAAATTTTTTATCTTTGGGGGTATATATTTATACAAATTTCTATCTTTAAGGGTGTAAATTAAAATTTTTAATCTTTAAGGATACAAATTAAAATTCGAACAATCTTACAAGATATAATTTGCAATTACCCAGTAATAAAAATAACAGAGTTTTTTTTGGATGTTGGTTCCTTGACCTGATGGGATTTAAAAAAAAAACATTTTCTCGTCAATTTATTTTTGGATCAGGTCTTTGTTAAAAAGACAATATAATAGATATAATTATCACATTTTAAAATTATAAAAATAATGACAATATCATCATGAAATTGAAACATCTATTCTAAAAAATTTTATTATCATAATGTATTTTCTTCTCCATAAACACAAATTGTCAGATAAATACATTAAAAAAAGTTATCATGTTTTTTTATTAATGTGACCTTTAAGTAGTGGTCTGTAAGTACAATAAGATATATTTACTAATAGCAACTAAATGCAATATATTTCTAAAAGGGAAATATCACGTAACCCAAATTTGTATTCCAAATGAATTGAGAGCATTGGATGAATGAAATTCATTAACCTTTTAAAATGGGAACCACTAATCCAATAATCTTTATTGATTTAAGATGCAAATTTGAGTTACAAATTTGGGTTATATAGCATTGCTCTTTCTAAAATAGATACATTAAGATAAAACTTCTAAACAGACATCTTTTCGATTAATTACGTAATTAACACCGTAATGAACATACATTTAAACCACTTTATCTACTCCCCATAAATACCTTTGTGTAGTATCAAAAAACTAAAACATAAACACATAAAACAATGGATCAATCTAGGGAGTAAAAAACACAGAGTAACATACAAATGATTTTCATCCCCTAAAAAAATTGAAGAATTGTTTAAAATGTCAAAACACATAAAAATGAACAACAAGTACATAAACAGGTAACCAAAATTTTATCACAGGAGTTACATATTCATCCTCAGCAAAACTAAAAAATTGAATATGAAAGATAATCACGCTCACAAACATTCATGATTACACACACCAAAAAAATGTATTAACAAACATAACAGATATACGATTAATATATACGTGTTGACATACATAACATATTATATGCGACAAATAACATACTTAATCATTTAGGTACATTATACGAATATATACATACACGAGATAATTACATTAGTATTTAATTAAAAGAAGATACATATACGAAATTATAATTATATAAAACCAAATACAATTTAAAATTACATAAATCATAACAAATATGTACCTAAATCTACCAACGAATACGCATAACTTAACTATTGCAATTTAATTTGTGTATCTGTTTAAGATAAATGATCGGTATATTCCAAATTGTTTGACTCACAAATTTGAAATTCAAAACTAATAGACAATACCATAAAATCCTAAAAAACAAAAACAAAAAAAGAAAACTAATTGTATTTTAAGCTGAAAATCATGTGATGAGGGTAAAATGGTAATGAAAACATGCTAACTATCTAACTCCTATATGTTCGCGCTCACACACAGATCTCATGCAATTTTTTTAAAAACATGAAAGACTTTTTTATATATTAAGAATCTTGTAGGATTAAAATTAGTTTACACATCAAATGAGGGATCCTAACTTAATTAACTAAAACAATTACGTTTTAGGGATAAGTTTAAGGTGAATGACACTTTAACCATGAGATATCCTTAAAATTTTAATTTGAAATATTAAAAGACATATAATACTATTTAAACTTGAAAATTTAATTTAATTTATTGAAATAATGACATGTTAGTAATATAGTTCAATAATGTAATTTTTTTTTTTTGGTTCAATTGTCAAGGGTGTTCAAGCTGGGCTTCTGTAAACTTCGACTAATCCCCTCCTTAGTCCAGTAAAAGACAAGTCATTCACGCGCAGGACAAGGGTATTCATAAGGAATAAATAAAAATGGCAGTGGACTGGAAAAAAATAAGTATTCGTCCAAACTCATCCAATTTGAACCTGAGATGGACTATATGTACTGAACGATGAACATATATAAAGATAACCATATAAACCCATGCGAGGATGGACTAAAACTCATTTCTGCTCTGCCCCTGCTATATATAAATAAATAAGTGAAATACACATTTGTTACACATATTATTTTTCTGAGTTTTTATGTATGATCTATAAGTTTTCATCATTCTTGCAAATTCATTTGTGAGGTTTTAATAATTATGGAGATCAAAATTTATCCATTGGATGAGAACAGGGATTAAAATTTCCCTTGGTAGGGGGATGGAGACTATTCTCCTGCCCCGTCCCCACCCCGGTCTATTGTCATTCTTAGGGATAAATCTCTCATAGAGGCCTAGTCTTAAGGAGTTGCTAAGATTTAAACTCATAACATTTAAAATTTACAGTTCGTCCCTATTACCACTCGAAGTACCCCTTGAATTTAATAATATTATTGCAATAAAAAAGGTTTTTTTTTTTTTGAGAAATTACCACTTGACACATCATTAAGTCGATAAATTATATTAACTTTTTAATTTCCACTAATGTTACTCTTAAAAGACTCACATTGCATATTTAATCAGATAAAAAGATAACAGTGTGGTCCAAAAATAAATATTCAATGTGTTGTCAAAAACAAAATTATCATATTTTTTATATTTTTATTTGTATACATAATTAGCTGCATATTACTCAATTTAAAGTATTTTATAAAAAAATTAATCCTTTAAAATACAATTTGAGAATTTAAAAATATATTGTGGCATAAAATGTTTTTGCCTATAAATTTATAGTACTGTCATTTATAGGCTGAGATTAGGCCCACTATTAAGCCCAAAACATTTTTAAGTCTGGTAGCACGAGAAGTAATGAACACAGATCTTAATCATAAAATTATGGGTGTGTTTGGTTCAGGTATTACGTGGTAGAATTAGACTAAATTAGTCTAGTGGGAACTTAATATCGTATTTTGACGAAGTTATAAGGTTCGGTCTTAACAATTTTGTTAATACTGGTTTGGTGCTAAGGTGTCTTCTATAACTACAGACGTTGTACAAATCAATATCATATGACATGTGACATTAAATGAGATATGATGGATATTAATATCCAAAATTACTGGAATACACATGGTAGGCTAGATAGTTACACATTGTTGGAAGGTAATTTCTGCTTTTTAAAGTTAGTATTATATATTAATCTTTTCATTCAAACATGAATATTTGAACAATGGGCTCATTCCTTATCCAAACTTTGATCCAAACATATTATAGTTGGAATAAAATAAAATGATAAATCAAATTTCTCAATTGTAAACCATCGGACATATGCCTGACAAAATGTAACACGACTTGATTATACGATAAGAATTGACAAAGAAATTAGTGAGTTTAGATTCAACCTTAACGGGTGGACCTGTTACACGAGTCTTGTTCTTTTTTTTTTTCCCTCATTAAGATATGAGAAATAAAGTTAATGGTAAATACAACTATAAATAAGACTAATGAAAGTTTCCTAATTCTACTAAGTTCCTTCTTTCCTAGCCAGTGCCTCCGTGGCCACACATTCTCTAATTGTGGTAGGAAGGTCTATTATTGGTAATGATCCAGTGAATTTCTTGGCAACCCCCCATTTTGCAGGAGCATGTGTTGCATTGTTTGCACCTCTATAGACATGATTCATACCCCAATCTAGATGTTCATTTAGCAGATGCTTCAAATCTCCGAGGGGTAAGCAGAATTGACAAGTTTGGTTTTACATAGCTGAGCCTAGTTGAGTGTATAACAGTCTAATAGTTCCTTCAATGGTTACATAATTCCAACCCTTCGAGTGAGCCCAGAACATGGCCAGTTTTGCCACACCTGATTCAGCAACCAGAGAGTGTGTGTTATCTTCAAGAGCCACTTCTACTTCCAGTACTTCCCCTATCTCATTCCTTGCAATGGCTGTAATGCAAGATCCCAAATTACCAACTACTATATCAAAGTTAACTTTTATTCCTCCCTCTGGTGAAGGGACAAGAGATGAGTGTGCAATTTAGGCCCTTC